GGCCAGGCTGATATTCAGGTCATCGATGCCTGCTGGGAGCTCTACTGCCTGGAACTGCAGCATCCAGCCCAACATCCAGTGCCAAATGACAAGACAATTATGGGGAGGTGAGTAGATGACTCCTTCCCACCTTCTTCAGTGATTCAGGTACTGGCCAGCATGTGTCCAGGGCTGTGTTTGTAGACCTACAATCCACAGTCATTGAAGAAGCTCACACTGGCACCTACAGCCAACTTTTTCACATTGAGCAGCTCATCACAGGAAGGACGATGCTGCCAATAATGGTGCCTTGTGGGCACTACACCATTGGCAAGGAGATTAGTGACCTTGTCTTGGACCAAATTTGGAAAGTGGCTGACCAGTACACAGGTCTTCAGGGCTTCTTGGTTTTCCACTAATGGCTCTGGGTTCACCTCTCTGCCAATGGAACATCTTTCTGCTGATTATGCCAAGAAGTCCAAGATGGAGCTCATCTCAGCACTTGCTGTTTCCACAGCTACAGTTGAGCCCCACAACTCCATCCTCCCCACCCACACCACCCTGGGACCCTCTGATTGTGCCTTCATGATTGACAAGGCCATCTACAACATCTCCCATAGAAACTCCAATATCAATGTTTCTACACTGATCTTGCCTGCCTAATTAGCTAGACTGTGTCCTCCATCACTGCTTCCCTCAGGTTTGATGGAGCCCTGAATGTTGATCTGACCAAATTCCAGAGCAACGTGGTATCCTATCCCCATATCCACTTCCATCTGGCCACATATGTCCCTGTCATCTCTGCTGAGAAAGCCTATCATGAATAGCTCTCTGTAGCAGAGATCACACTTTTCCTCCTATATTGATTATTCAGGAATGGATAAGAGAGAATTTCACTGAAATGTCTCTTGTGCCTACTTCCCACTGAATACAGTATAGGCTACCCAGCATGGAATTCAGACCTTTCATGATTTAGACCAAGCTTATCTACTTAGCTTTGCTTCCCACTATTCATTTCATAAAAATATTTTTCCAATGTCTTTAAAGCTGAAATGTATCATCACACCCTAATTAAATTCTAAAGTCAAGCCATGCTTTTTCCAATCTGTGATATCAGTCCTTCAGTTTCCAAGTTTTACCTATATTTCATTTCTCAATTTTACTTACACTGATTCTGTGATTAACTGTAGCACTTCATTCATTCATTGCTTTTATTTTCTCCTCCATGTCTTTGACTATGTATGTGGCATACAAAGAACAGACTTTGGATGGGCATGGGAGGACAGACAGGTATAATAATCTGTGTTTTTTACTGCATGACACTATCACTTACTGAATTAATCTTACCTTTAATTTTTATATAATTATTTTTTTTCCCACAGTGAGATTATGGCAATTTAGAACCAGTGATATTTTGTACTTTTCTTTTATTTTTCACAGCTCATAACACAAATATTCATTTGATTATATCACTTAATGTTTAAAAAAAACTTGAACAAATATAATGTTGATTTTATCTCTACTGAGTTTATGGGAAAAGAAAGTCTATTTTAAAAACTAGCATTTTAAGCCAGAAGACAGAATGATTTCTAAGCTGAAATCATTCATTGTCTAAAATACCAGAAAAATAAATCCTATTGAAAGCTATTACCTAGTGAAGTATAATCCTCTCTGAAGGGAATATCAATAATGGACAGCAAAAAGCTGTGATATTTTGTAATGTGCTCATTAAAACAGTTGTTGAGATAAATTCCAGCCATATGACATTGGTGTAGCCCCCAGGGAAGGTCTCATTCCAAACACAGAGGGTCTACTCTGACCATCCTTTACGCCCTTAGAGAAAACTGTACTAATTCTCCATTAGGGGCTGGACAGTTATTCATCTGGGGCCATGGCTGAGCAGGTGTTTTAATAAACCAGTTAACTTTGTCCTCTGTATGGTTTCAGGAAAGCAAAGCCAATGTTGATTGAAGCTAACGACCTATTGCAGAATGTAAAATAGTAATCAGGTTTGAAAGATTTTGTGTTGGATAAATGAGCACTTTTTCTCTCACATAGTCCCTGCAAGATAGAGTCAGCTTTGTTTTTAAAGGATATTTCAAAGTAAGAGATTTTCAAAGTTCTATCTGAAATTATTCTAGTGCTTGAAAATTCTCACAGCATGAAAATCTTTACTGATAATACTCCAGATTTATTATTCTTTTTTCTGGTTTTGTTTTTAGTCACTATAAAATAAAGAAATGGTCACCTGTACAATAAGGTCGCTTCATATATGTGAAGAATAATGTTCAGTTAATTTCACTGCTTTCTTCTTCAAGTGGAATAATTCGACTTCCTTTAAATTTTTATCAGAGACACTATCACTCAGAAATTTTAATCACAACTTTTATTTCTCTCCTGTACCTCCTCCTCCAACTGGCTGGATTCCTCACTGGCTGAGCAGACACTAAGTGCTCAGTGTAATCAAGAGGACTGTGACCAAAGTCCAGGATACATTTGTTCTAGCTCTTAGAAATCTCATTTGCATTTACTAACCTAAATCTTTTTTTAAAGTATATCAACAAGTATTTTATTCTTCTCACTAACAGAAACCACTAGACATCGGGGTAAGAGCACACTTATTCATCCCAATCCCCACAGTCACCTGTTGTCTTTTCACACCTCATTCAGGTTTAGCTTAGCACTGTGTTTCAAATAATTTTCAGTAATGGATCCAACCAGAAAAATATATGAGCTTTAGAAATTATCATGAGTTAAAACAGCAAAATTGCATTAAAAGGCTGTCCATTTTTACAATTTAGTAATGTAAAACATTTTGGGGTTGGAATAATTACTTCATTACATTTTTTTTGTTTTATTTTGTTTTTTTCTTTTAACAATTGTTCAAGTACAGTTTTATGCCTTTTACCCCCATCCCAGCCCAACCCCTCACCCTCCCTACCTCCCTCTCACTTCCACCCCCTCCCCAGTTTTTGTCCATGTGTCCTTTATATTTGTTCCTGCAAACCCTTCCCTTTTTCCCCTGAAATTCCCTCCCCTCTCCCCTCTGGTCACTGTCAGCCTGTTCTCTAGTTCAGTGTCTTTGATTATATTTTGCTTGTTTCTTTGTTTTGTTGTTTAGGTTCCTGTTACAGGTGAAATCATATGGTATTTGTCTTTCATCACCTGGCTTATTTCACTCAGCATAATGCTTTCCAGCTCCAGCCAAGCTGTCACAAAGGGTAGGAGCTCCTTCTTTCTTTCTGCTGCATAGAATTCCCTTGTGTGAATGTACCATAGTTTTTTGATCCATTCATTTACTCATGAGCACCTAGGTTTTACTAACCTAAATCTTAATAATACCTCTATGATTCCCAACTTGGATTTCTTAGATGTATAGGGATTGATGCAATAATGGGGGAAAAAGAAGACTTCTGTGAAATACTAATAGAAAATGTATATTCACCACTGATAAAATTGCACAAGTCTTATTCAATACCAAAATTCTTTTACATTTTTCATGCATAGAGCTTGATATATTGTGAATATTCAATAAATGTTTCCTATTAATATAAAATTGTATAGTCATTTTAATATTGTTGTTATTCAATAATGATAAAAAATTGGAATTTAAGAGATGCATAGGTAGATAAATCCTTATTTAACAAAATAAAGAGAACTGATCATTTTTATTAAGTGCAGTGGTTTAGGGGGAAAACTCAATAGTTTCTATGAAGAAAAATAACAATATGAATGTTTGATAATTTGGAAAAAATGGAATTGCTCTGACATAGTTTAAATTTAAGATGAAGGTTTTTTATTAATCTACATAATCTTGCTTATCATTCATGAGATATGTTAATATTTGCTTTATAAAATTTCCCTCATTTCTTGTATGTGATTTTCAACCAGTGTCAAGATCTGTTTGATTTGATTTATGCCTTCCATATTCCTATATGGATTTCTAAAATCTGCTGTAACTTTTAAGTGTGCTCCTCATTTTACCCTTCTCAGCACTAGTTAAGTTCAAAACCACTATGGTAACGAAACACCTCTGATAAAGAGCAGTTGGAATAACTACTGTGACACTAATTACAGATCTTTTGGTATATCTTTGCATCTAGTTAATCCCCCATCCATTTATTATAGGGGCACATAACATAATTGTTTTAGGGGAAGAAGTCTGCCTGAATACGAAGTAAAAAGAAAAGAGGGGGAATTCACACAAAAATACTTTTTCTTAATGTTGCAAATGTCAAAGTAAATGTATTCCATTCTCTCAGTCTACTGGGTCTGGCATAGTAATCTAATCAGTCAAAGAAACTATTTCATCTCAATATCAGGAAGCAGTTTGCAGAAGAGGGGAAAACATCTGCTATACAGGGAAATGGCAAAATTTCGAAACTTTGAGATAATCAGAGGAATTATAAACTTGAAGTTTCAGGAAACATTCAATTTAATGTCATTTATGATTCTGTCCATAGCAGCCTTTGTTTGTTTTGTGTCATGTGAAATATATTAATATTATATTATAGTACATCAAAGTCAGATGTCATCAATATAAATAATAATTCTTGAGTGTAAAATCCAAGTATTATTAACAAGATAAAATCAAGTTTCCTAAAGGCGGTTAGTATTCAGTTAGTTACCGTCATGAGACCACATTGGGTAGTTATTATAGATAAAATTGAATATATTTGTTCACTGAAATGAAGAACATTCTAATTACTAATATATTAACTCAAGCAAGATCAATATTACTGGCAGCACTGCCCCTTTAACTAGCTCATCAACCAATAAAGTCTTTATCACAAGCCATTCAAATATTGGCCAGTAGATAGAAGGAAAGAGAATTCATCTGAAAAAGAACTGCTTTTCACTATTCATCACATTTAAATAAAATTTAGGTAAAGGAAGCTTGAAAAAAATAAAACCCATTAAGCCTTTCATTGAAGCAAAATTCTACTCTAATTCCAAATGAATAAAAGTGGTTTTCTGCATCAGAAAGTCTTCATTATTAGGATAAGAATAGAGGAACTTACAAAATACAGCAGTGTCTTTTTTAATCACAGCAGGACAACTGAGCATATCCTCTCAGAACTCTTCTTTGGTACATTTTCTGAAAAAGAAAATTAAAATAAAATAAATAAACTTAAAGGCTGAGTGTTAAAAAAGTAACTATAAGGAAACTGAGTTTGTACAAATTGTGGGCTTATCTAAATAGTTTTTAACTATTACGCATATAATGGGGAGTGCTCATGTGAAAGAATTTATATCAATTTCTGAACAGTTCCAAAATATCTAAATACTTCGGCATATTGTGAATGACTCAACTTAAGTTTTACTTTCCAGGAAAAAGTTCAAAATGGCCTTTGCTGGTATAAGACAGAAAAGGCTATTTATGCCCTTTATGTGCTACTGAATGGCTAAGGCACTCAGCAATGGCTCCAAACACAGAGGACAGTTATTTCATCATGATAAAGATTTTATTTATTTATTTTTAGAGAGTGGAAGGGAGACAGAAGAAAGGGAGAGAAAGCATCAATGGGTGGTTGCTTCTGGTGCCCCTCCACCCCCACCCCCACACTGGGGACCTGGCCCACAACCCAGGCATGTGCCCTAGACTGGGAATCAAATCAGTGACTCTTTGATTTGCAGGCCGGCACTCAGTCCACTGAGCCACACCAGCCAGGGCTGACAAACTATTTTAGACTAATGAAGATGGATAGAAGATGACGCACTTGCAGGATAAGCAAAGAACAGTGTGTGAAGAAGAGCAAGAGCTTTTCTTTGGATTCCTGTACATTCCAAGTAGCATATCAAGAGGAAACACCCACAAGCCACATGCTTCACTGCTTCTCATATCCCCGTGTAGAAAACAGCACCAACTACTCCATCCCTTATTTGTTTTAGGATCTACTCTAATAAAAGGCAAACATGACTATAATATTGAATCGCCTATGTTTGGCTGAAAGGGCTAAGAACACCCATGTGCATACTGTGAGCTGACATCAATCTCTAAGAACCTCTCCATGTTCTTTTTTACATGAAGAAAGATCACAGATGGTATTTTAACAAACTGTACTAACAGACAATATTATTGATCATTTTAAAAGAATGTATAGAGTAACATTATAGTTGCAGATAAAATATGACATCTGCACACCAGAGTTGGATCCATTTGTAGAATCAATGTGCATGGAGCTGAAGAAGAGGTTGTATAATAGTTATTTAAACTAAGTTTGCCTATAGAATAAATCAAAGTCAACTACAATCACGGGGAACAGATTGTAATCATTATAGTAGAAAAACTAAATATAAACTATCCAACAAATTGAAAATCAGTTAGAAAAATAATAATACTGAAACAAAAATGTTTCCATAAAAGAATACATTGTATAGACCAATGAGAATTTCCATTAATTTTGAAATTATTATCAATGTGATTTCTAAAATAGGTCATTGTCATTTCTACTTTCACTACATACTTTATATAAATTGTTCATTTTCAAATACATAAAATAAGTAGAGCATTAGCTATCAAATATCCCTGAAAAATGAAAAATTACTTCTTTTACAAATTAAAAAATGGCATTTTTTTGGCTCAGAATAGTCCAACTACTATCATCCAGCTTAATTATGGCTACCTTCAGTTTTACTTAAGTAAAAATGAGGAACTTGAAAATTTTTCATTTTTCAAAGGATCTCATTTTACAGATTATATAATTTAAATGCAACTTAGATATTAAAATCTAAGTTTCAATTACAAAGTATTATGAGATATCAATGAATCTATTAGCATAATGAAAATAAATAAACAGAGACCCTAATGAATTGTGCAGAAGTTATGTGGTCATTAATTGTCTAAGAGAGAGTAGTATTATGCATTCTGCTGCTTCATCGTTTTAGGTTAGCCATATGGCCTTTTGAAAGCTTAATAAATCAAATGTTTTCCCAGTTTATATGTATCTGCCCAAATCATCATGTTTTATGCTTTAAATATCTTATAATTTTACTGTCAGTTATACCTCAACAAAGCTGGGGATAAAAAGAAAAAAAAACAACATAAAATAGGCAATACCACATGCACCTTAACAGTCTTGTAAATTCCAGGCACAACTTCTGAAATCCACAATTACTCCTGGGATGCATGTTTCTGAGAAATGAGACAAGGTAGCTATGAAGGGAATAAAGAGGTATGGACCATCTCAGCTGAGGGACACCAGTAGCTATGGGTGGCCCTTCAGTTTTTATACTATGTTCTCATTCTTTTTTATGGTGGCATATTATGAATTACTGTTCATAAAAACATATTTCTAACCACCTGGTATAGAATACATAGCTCAAGTAAATAACAATCTTACTAGAAATTCACACTTACATTGGATCTGGGATACTCCAATATATCCCCTAAGTTAACATTGTAAGGAGTTTGAATATGGTCACAGCTCTGTCAGTAGGGCCAAAGGATTAAGTTTCATTCTGTTCTTAACCCTTCCAGGCAACATCTTAATGGGGAATTAGTAAGCTTTTTACCAAAGTTAAGAACAAGACAATGGTGCTCATTACTATTGGATTCAGTAGCCAAAGAAATCACACAAGAGAAAACAATGAGATACGTAAGCATTGAAAGAGAGGCTGTATCAATTTGCAGATAACACAATGTTGTGCATCAAAAATCCAAGAGCCAAAACAACACTAATGCCAATGCTAAAGCAACAAATTAAATAAGATAAAAAATATAAATATAATTAACATTCAAAAGTCAATAGACTTCCTATATCTTTCAGAAATATAAGGCAAGGGAATGTCACAAAAGAAGTAATAACAGGAACAAAAAAATCGATGATTAGGAATGAATTTATCAAGAAAAGAATGCTATCTACATAATGAAAACTTACTGAAAGATGCAAAGTAATCATAAAATAATTTTCACCCAAGTAAATATAAACATTTTTAATTATCCCCTAAAATGCTAAGAAGTTTTTTGTTTAGAATCAAGCTGATATTAAAACACAAGTGGAAAAATCAACAGTAGGGAATAGTGAGAAAACCCTGAAAAATATTCAGGGCCTTAGCCCTCAAAAACAGTAAGACATGCCATAAAGCTTCTGTAATTAAATGAGTATTACAATGCCCCACAAATGCACATAGAGTAAACATTCAAGAATCAATTCCATCTATATAATTCTGGAAGAAAATACACTTTTAAATAAAAATATGTGGACAATTGCATAGCCATTGGGAAAAAAAATGGAGCTGTATCTAACACCACAGAGCAGCATTACTTTAAGAAGGAAAGATAATTAAATATTTTTTAAATGAATAAATACATGAACCAGAAGAAAACATGGGTTATTTCTTTAAAATAAAGAGGTCAAATTTTCTAACAATGATGTAAAATCCAGAAACAATATAAGAAGCTACAGATATAGTCACCTATATTTTTTAAAATATAAGTATATTCTTATACTTTTAAAATGACAAAATGTACCATAAGCAAATTCAAAAGACAAATTATAAGCTCTTAGACAAACAATTATTAATATTGATCCCACTCTTTCAAATTAAGGAGAAATAAACTTAAAACCCCACAGGAATGGCCAAGAGGTACGAAAGAAAATTCACAAGATGTAAAAATGACCTTTCAATACATAAAACGATGCTCATGTACTCATAACAAAAATAATACAATTTAAAAGTACCCTGAGATAGTATTTCTCATCTAGCAAATTGGCAAAAATAAGGAGTATTGAGAGCACACTGACAGAGCTGTAAGGGAACAATGCACGCACCCACACACTGCTGGTGAGAACGCAGAAAGGCAGAGTTTCTGCAACATCCCACAAAATCGTTAGTGGAGGTACACACCGATCCAGCAATCCCATTCTACACTAGAGATACTCCTCTGCAAATGTAAAATAACACACACAATCTCCTGTGATCCGCTTCCCCTTGTGGACTTGGCCCTCTACTGGGGTCCACAGCTGAGCATGGGATTACTCCCTTCATGTGGTCACCCCTCACCTCACTCAGACACCAAGACCTTGAACTAGGCTAACACTCCCACACCTAGGCTCCCTCTTTACCCTTCTTGAACTCCTGACACCCAGCTCTGTTGTCTCAGCCCAACCCCCACGCTGTACAAATGCCTAAGTCTGTTTGCACCTAATGGCTTTTCAAATGGATGGTTTAGAAAGTGAAGTGAAGGAAGGGGGAGATAAGAGTGAAGATCTTGATTTCTAAACTCTTTTCTCAGCTAAAAGGCACAATGGCCCCTAGGAGAAATGCTAGGTACAGAGATGCTGAAACTTGTTATACCAGCAAAATGTTAGCCTGCCTGGAGTTGTGAATTGTGAGTGTGTGTTTGTGTGTTCTACCACAGGATGATTTAAGATGTGGAAAGAAGGAACTCTTGCTACAGCAGATATAATTTGTCACTTGGAAATACAATCTCATAATTGTAAATCTAATTTATTTTAAAACTTATTAAAAGCAGTTTTATAATGGCTTAATAAAACTTTAAGAAAACATATGGTCAACAAACTGATGAAGAAAATGAATTAATATAATATTTTACTAGCAGAAATTTGTATTTCCCTATTTTGTATGGTTGTGGGTAAGCAAAAATAGAAAACTATTTGAGACTCAGCCTCTAATTTTGAAGCTGGAATAAATTACTGAGACTAAATTATCCAAAGGGATGCAATAGTCACTAACAGGTGGTCATTGAAAAGGGCAGTGGTAAGCATTTGCAACTATACTACTTCCATTAATTTCTCTCTTAATTAGTTAATTATATAATTTTCTTATGTACAAAATTGTTTTTTTCACTATATGGTTTTACTATATACAGAAATATTGATTCCTCCCATGGATTCCGCACCATATGGATTCCTCCCATGGTTTCTTCCATATCAGTGAGTACAATTAAATATTGAATGTTATTTAACAAAATATTGTTCTAAACAAGTTTTTACTTTTAAAGTTTTTCAAAATTATCACCCTTATTTTAGAAAGTAAATCCTAGGTTACTGCATTTTGAACAGGTTAGGTTATCTATAACTTAAAATTTGGAGTTTTGTAAAACCATATGCAATTAGAATAATGTTCTGAGTA